TGTTCAACAATTAGTTTGGTCGATCTCCTAATCGTGATCAACATAGGATCTGGTATTAATATGCGTTAATTCTATTTGTCATGCTACATCAGGATGGTGATATGAAATTAACAATAATTGTAGCAGTATGATAGTGCGAAAGACTGCTGTTCGAAAAGAAGGAATAAATTGGAGCAATGAGAAGAATGAAATAATATTAAAGCTGAAGAATTAAAAGATTAAGAGTGAGTTCAATTGAACTATTGCGTTTGATCGTGAAACATATCACCCGGAATTCCCAGGCATATAGTCTGCCCTTATTGATACAGTTGGTCAATCAGAAGTCTCTTTTATTTCCACTCTGTCCATCCTTATTTTTCAACTTATACAACAGCTCGCCTATGGTGAAAATTCGGCTCTATCTAAGCGCTCTCGAGTCACTGCCTGGTTGGAAATTGTATTTTACCACCGAATACGAGTACTGAAGCAGTTTTTCTGAAACCACCTACACCATTCAAACTGGCTGCCTTCAACGTTCGCACACTTATGCAGGTCGGACAACAGATAGGGCTGGCTATTTCTTTGGAAAGTCTTAATATTGACGTGTGTTGTCTATCCGAGACCCGTATTCAAGACTCTGGTGAAGTACTACAAGTTCGCATTCCATCTGTCGCTTCAAAAAGCTTGTTTTATGTGCGTCTATCCGGGGACCCTGTGGCATCTTCGTCTGGTCTTGCTGGCGTTGGTGTCTCACTAAGCGCAAGAGATGAGGCAGCACTAATCGACTGGATCCCCATTAACAGTCGGTTATGTGCTGTTAGATTAGAAAGTTCCATCAAAGTGAGAAGAAATCGGCCTGAGAAACGATGTATTTTCGTCATCTCCGCCTATGCCCCGACAGATTGCAGCCCGGATGCAATCAAGGATGAGTTCTACCACAAGTTAACTGTTCTTCTCCCAAACCAATGGTGCACATGGGCTCTAGTATCCTGAAGGAACAGATGGCGTATGAACCAATTGTTGGTCACCGGCTACCATGGGACTGCATCTCCTAACGATGCTCCACTGCCTTGTGGGTCAGACGTTCAGGTCGAAGGCTCGGGGCGTGGCTCCCTAAGAAAACCACCTGCTTCGGTCTGGGCACCCGGGCAGTATCACAGCCCTCACACAAATCAATTGAGATTCGTGTGGCGCATATGTATTTGTTGCCTCCTTGTACCAATACCTATGTGTTAAAATAAATAAATAAATCTTCTCCAGAAAGTGCGTTCGACAGATATTGTAGTACTAGCCGGAGACTTGAAGGCTCAGGTCGGGCGTCTATGCACAGAAGAGAGACGTTTAGGTGGCCGATGGGGACTCGTTGGTCGCAGGACAGATAACGGGGAACGTCTACTGCAACTATTCACAGACCACAACCTGTTTCTGGCTAGCACTAACTTTCAGCACAGTCATCGCCGATGTGCCACCTGGTGTCCTCCTTCTGCATCTCAAGCCTGGACTCAGATTGACCGCATCGCGATCAGCTACCGCTGGCGTGGTTGTGTACAAGACTGCCGCTCCTTTTGGAGTACCTATCTGGAATCTGATCATGCTCTGGCCTGCGCCAATCTTACCTTACTTTTCAGTGGACAACGAAGTGACCACCACCAAAGGATTGATGTTAGCAAGCTGGCTGCAACTTCTGTTGCTAGTAAGTACCGAATCGAGCTAGCTTCTAGGCTAGCCACCATTCCACCGAAAAGTATAGATGAGCATTGGTTGCAATTGCATGACGCCATGAAAATGGCGGGTCAAGTCTATTGTGGGTTCGCGAAACGTCCCGCTTATAAGCACTGGGTTTCTTCTGGTTCCTTACAACTGATTGAAGCCCGTCGGTCTACTCCGGGTGACCGTGAGTTTGACCGGCCCTCCATGGCCGGTGACGACTGATTCACCAAATGAGGCGGAAGTCCGCAAGGAACTCCAACTATTGAAACGTTACAAATCACCGGGCCCAGACGACTTACCTCCTGCTCTTTTTAAAGATGGTGGTGACTTTCTGACTAAGGGACTGACGACGTTGTTTGCAAAGGTCTGGGAAGTAGATAGTGTACCAACGTCATGGAATGAGTCGATAGTTGTTCACACCTTTAAAAGCGATTCACATCGTTTCTGCAACGGCTATCGGGGGATAAGTCTACTTCCGGTTGCGTCCAAGCTATTGGCTTCCGTCATACTTCGTAGGTTGTTCAGAACCCGAGAAAGATTGACTCGCGAGGAGCAGGCTGGTTTTCGTTCTGGTCGAGGATGTATTGATCATACTCGCACTCTCCGCCAAATGTCAGAACACCGTCATACTTATCACAGACCAAAAATCCTAGTGTTTCTTGACATCAGGGCTGCCTTCTATTCGTTGGATAGGACTGTTCTCTGGGATTGTCTATTGAATAAGGGTGTGCCTGAGAAGTTTATTAACATCCTGAAAGCATTAAACACGAACACCTCAGGCAGAGTGAGGGCATACAATCACCTCTCTCCATTGTTCCATTCAAGAAGTAGGGTTAGTCAGTGTTGCCCAATCTCACTATTCCTCTCCGACTTTGCCACCAATGTCTTAGAAACAGCTCTGATGGATGTAGGTTATGGTGATGTAGATCGGTTTCTTGGAGAAAGACTTATCGACCTTGAGTATGCGGATGATAGTCTTACTGTGTGATAATACCCAAGTCATGCAATCCACACTTAATCAGTTGGCGATCAGTGTCCGTAGGCATGGCATGCGTATTGCACCTTCCAAGTGCAAAGCACTTTTACAACACTGGCAGGACCCTGATCCTACACTCACACTAGTTAGTTAGCAGATAGAAATGGTCAAGAAATTCGTGTTTCTGGGTAGCTGCATAAGTGCTGGTGGTGGCGTGAGTGATGAGATCAATGCACGTATAATGAAAGCCAGAGCGGCTTATGCCAATCTGGGCCATCTTTGGCGCCTTCGTGATGTTAGTCTGGCTGTAAAAGGTCGGATCTACAACGCGACGGTGAGAGCAGTTTTGCTCTATGCTTGTAAAACCTGGTCTCTCCGAGTTGAGGATGTTAGACGACTCTGTGTTTGATCATCGTTGTCTCCGAAGGATTGCTGACATCCAGTGGCAATACCATGTTAGTAATGTAGAGGTTCAACACAGAGACGACAATTCAGTTGGTGTTACTATCTTGAGACATCGACTTCGGTCTCTTGGCCTACTGTAAATGTGATACCAAAGAACCCCATGTCGTGCACTATTTGCCGACACTGGGACTGTTTGGAAAAAGCCGAGAGGTGGTCAGTATGTGACATGGTGTCGTGGTATGAAAGATAGCTGCAAAGGGCTAGCTTCTGTTGGTCCTTCACGACTCCCTGGCTGGCGTCCGAAAGACGGTGTAACACAGTGGCTAGAGACGTTATCAGATATGACTCAGAATAGAAGGCAATGGCGATCCTGCTGTAACCTTCTTTTACTTTCTTCTTAAAAAGTGGTTGCTTCTTACTTAACTGAAAGATTTCTTCTGATTGTACCTTTCCGTTTCCCCCATTATTGTTCTCTCTTTTTTTGTCTTCAAATTATCATTGTTTTGTGTGGCGCATATACATTTGGTGCCCCCTTGTACCAATATTTATGTGTTCAAATAAATAAATAATAAATAAAATAACAGTCGTTGTTTGTGGTCGAACTCACAGTCACCTGGAGTAGATCGACGGGCTTCAACAATTTGTAAGGAGCCAAAAGAAACCCAATCCTTATAAGCGGGTCTTTTCGCGAAGCCGCAAGCGACTTTACTCATCATTTTCATGACGTCGTGTAATTGCAACCAATGCTCATCTGTAGTTTTCGGTCGAATGAGAACTAACCTTGAACCTAGCTCGGTTTGATATTTAGTTGCAACCAATTTACTGACATCGGTGCGCTTAGGATGATGATTTTGTTGGTCACTGAAAATTAAGGTAAGATTACAGCAAACATGGACACAATTAGAGTTCAGATAGGTACTCCAAAATGAGCTGCAGTCTTGTACACAACCACGCTAGCGGTAGCTGATCGCAATGTGATCAATCTGAGTCCAGGCTTGAGATGCAGAAGGAGGACACCAGGTGGCACATCGGCGATGACTGTGCTGAAAGTTAGTGCTAGCTAGGAACAGGTTGTGGTCTGCGCACACTTGCAGTAGATGGCCACCGTCATATGACCCGTGACCAACAAGTCCCCGTTGACTACCTAAATGACTCTTCTTTGCCCAAACGCCCGACCTGAGTATTCAAGTTTCAGGCTAGTACTACAATATCTGTCGAACGCAGTTTCTGTAAAAGAACAGTTAACTGGTGTTAAAATCCTTGATCGCATCCAGGATGTAATCTGTTGTAGCGTAGGCGGAGATAACGAAGACATCGTTTCTCGTGCGGATTTCTTCCTACTTTGATGGAATTTCCAATTTAACAGAACATGACTGTTATTGGGGACACAGTTGATCAGTGCCGCCTCATCTCTAGCACTTAGTGGGACATCAACACCAGCTAAACCAGACAAAGACGCCAGTGGGTCTCCAGATAAATACACGTTGAAAAAGCTTTGCGAAGTGATAGATGGATAGCGAATTTGTAGTACTTCACTAAAGTTTTCAATACGGGTCTCGGATATACAACAGACTTCGATTGTGAGACTTTTTCAAGACTGTAAATATGATTGTAAAACCTTTATAAATGATAATGTCGAAAAGAATTTTCTCCTTGAATTATCTTTTTTTTTATTTATCGTCCTGAGAATTGTGTGTTGTACCAAACATATAATATTGAGTAAAGCCATTTATTGTGATAGTATGTTTCCATTTCGTGTTATATGTAGCAGGTAAGTTATGTGTTGTAATTTAATAGTAATTTGTAGAAAGTAACTTAGAGAGAAATTTATCAGTACCTACATCTTATTATATTGGATCAATATATTGTTTGACATACTGTCATTTTGGCCTCATCTGATCAAGTTCTTTTAAACTATTTTGTATTTTAGGTATTCTTAAATGTCTTTTTCAACATGTACAAAGGTGAAAAGATGTGCCCAGTCAGTCTGTTCAGAGTATGTTGTTTTTTATAAAAGAATAATTTTAATCTATATTGTCTTATTTTAGAACATTCGAAAAAGATGTAAGATCACTTAAATCACCACAAAATACAATATTATTTTAGTTGAAATGTCCCCGCCTGTTGGATAAATCAAGAAATAATATAATCCATACTCCATCATTATACGATGTTGGTTACAGTTCAACAAACCGTTTAAATGAATTTGAAAATGTCAACAATTCTTCATGTAGTCATGATCGACTTGCTCAGTTATCCGCTTTAATTGATCAATGTTCACATGGCGAATTGTTGCATATAAAAAAAACTATAAAACCATTGTTGAAACGAGATTTTATTGCATATTTACCTGTTGAAATTTCTTTACATATCTTACACTATTTATCACCTCGAGATATATTTCATTGCGCCCAAGTGAGTTGGTGATCCCATGATATATATATATATATATATATATATATTAATGTGGAAGGGTTTTGTGTCATATTGTACGTATGTGTACCAATCTATGAGGTCATTGATAACTAAGCCATGTTAATAGGTTTATAATACCTGGGTTGAGTTCGCGTAATTATCTTAACTAATGGTTAGAGACTTTGGACGACGGCTCGCAATCGTTTTCTATGGCACAGGTGCGTCCATTTTTTGAAAAAAAGTTGATATTGTTTGTTCTCCTCTGCTTCTCATGTTGTTAGTTTCTTTCTCTTACTACACTAACGTGAGATGGACCAACTTGGATCAGTATATATTTGTACCATCTGTTTCGCTGTTCTTGGATCTCAATGACTGACTGAGCACATAGATATTGGTACATAGAGGCACCAAATACATATGCACCACACAGATCTCATTTGATATGTGTGAGGGCTGTGATACTACCCGGGTGTCCATACAGAAGCAGGTGGTTTTCTTAGGGGGCCACACCCCGAGCCTTCGACCTGAAGATCTGATCCACAAGGCAGTGGAGCATCGTGAGGAGATGCAGTCCCATGGTAGCCGGTGACCAACGATTGGTTCATACGCCATTTGTTCCTTCAGGATACTGGAGCCCATGTGCACCATTGATTTGGGATCCGGTTAAAGCGCCGGACATTCGCTTTTCGTCCTCTCATTTTCGTAAACAACACCCGTGGTGCGAGAAGGCAGTGAGTAGGACTTCCCTGGTAGAGGCTGTATACGCATGGCTATGTGAGAGCATTTCGAGAGGGAGAGCGGACTCGACCCAATCTCGGCCGTACCAGGGCATTCGGAGGCATCTCAGTGATTGGCTTGCCTTCTTTGTCCTTGATTGGTCTATCTGGTTTGCAATATTTCTCTGCTAGTTTTCTCGTTGCACCATAATGTTTCTTCGTTATTTCCTTCTCGCTACTTTTTCGCTTGTCTTTTGCCAGGGCTTCCACTTATTTCTACTTATATGCTCTAATGCTTCTTTTCTATCGTTTGCTTGTTTCTGTGTATTCAGTCTCTGCTCTTGTTCAACTGTTGTTAATTGCTGTCTTATTGTTTGTCCTTTCTCGAATCTTGTCCAGAGTATTGATAGAGAGGTATTTTTATGATGGTGCTTCTTGGAGCCAAGAACATCCTGTCATGTTGAAGTTAGTACTTTCTTAATCCTTTCCCAGTTGTTCTCTATAGTAGTTTCCTCTTCTTTAAGTAGATCTTGCGAGGTTTGGAACCGTTGCTTAGAGTTCTGTTGAATTCTCTGACTTTGTCCATATCTCTAAGGCAGGCTGACTTAAGCCTTTGTGATGCTCTTTCTCCAGTTTGTTAGTGCTCTTTTAGTTACAGTTCCATCTTGGGAACCACCAGGTGGTGATATAAAGCTAGATCAGCTCCTCTCTTTGTTATCACCTCCAGAACTTAAAAAGTTCTTATCCATGCAGATATGATAGATCTGCTTTTCTGTAGTGTGATCCGCAGAGACCCATGTAGCTTCATGTATGTGTTTGCATGGGAATAGTGTCATTTATAACCATTTTTTGAAGGGATATAAATTAGTAAATCTCTCACCATTCCTATTTATTTCTCCTATCTCGTGACATTTTTATACCCTGTATTGTCCATTCCGACTTTGGCGTTTAGGTCTCCCACCAAAATGCTCAGGTCCTTTCCTGGGCAGTCAGTCATCTACAACGTAGGACCAGACACATGTATACATCTGTCCAAACTGCTACACCTCATTAGCACAACAAGATGATCGCCAAATTCATAGAAGTAGTTACTTCAATGGTAGTAATGTGTTAAAAATGATCGTATATAAGATGAAAGAATTAGTTTGTAGAAAGAAGGGTAATGAAGTAATTTTAATCTCACAGTTTAAGGGAAAACAAAGTGTGTATACACCTACGCCACTGTGATAAGTTCTGAGCTATATCACCCAGAGTCTCCAACCACTGGTTACATTAATTGCGCGGACCCCAATACAACATTTTGTCTTTACCTAACAAAAATGTATTACCTGCGTATTTTAAATCGACAAGTGAATTTATATGACGGGATTGTCATGTCTAAAAGTGTCTATGACGAAGTTAAATAAAAAAAGAAGGTGGAAAGTCCACTTGAAGTTGACAATCCTGATGATAGTCATCCATAAGCTCTAAATCAAATAATAATGTCAAAGTAATCGTCCTTTAAAAGCTTGATGCACTTCTTTGGCACCCTTTTCATTGACAGACTACCACAAAATCTCTCGATCGACATAGTCGAATGCTGCTTTAAGGTCAAATACATCTATAATCGGACATTGGACAGTATGCCTGTGTTATAAAATATGATGTCAATTGAAAATTTAGTCGATTCATCTTACTCCTTATCTGAAACCAACCTGATTTTCTTGGATTTACTCTTCACGAGCCCTAGGCATTGGATGTTTGTAAAGGCCAATATTTTGAACACTATATTAGTCATACTGATTCCTTTCTGAATTTTGTCCTTTTTTCGTAAACTGGTACGATCAGCGATCGAGATCAGTTAGATGAGATTTCGTCTACTTCTCAGGTCCTAGCCAATGTTACAGTCAACTTAACTTCTGAAACTGGACCACTATCCTTGAAGATTTCCGGGACTAATCCGTCTGAACTGTCTTCCCTCCTTCGCGTCACATTATTTATAGCCTTTCTAATCTCATTAGGAATTGAAGGACTTGAGTTTCTCATTCAGGTTGTTTGGAGATTGCTCATAACTGGAGAGTTGCTATGGAGTGGTTAAACTGTTCCATAGTGTTCTTCCCGTTTATTTAATTTGGGTTCATACTGACTGGCAGTTCCGTTCTTGTCCGAGATAGTTTCACCAACACTTGCCGTTTTAATACTTATTTCCTTTATCATTCGAAATATTTACTTACTGTTACCAATCCACCATGCCTTTTTCATCTATTTTGCTTTCACTACATATCACCATTGAATACCTTTAAGCATTGGATAGTTGTTCCTCCCTAATCAAGGTTTCCTTACCAGGGATAAAACCTAGGACCTTCATTCTTTACGGCTCTTGTCCTTCAAAACATTCTGTTTCCATCAAATGATTGACATTTCTAACCTTGGTCAATTCACAATGCTGCCGTAGGTTCCTAAACTGAAGCGAAATAGCTATGGTTGTCTATCCGCAGTTAGTCTGTGATACAAGGTACAAAGTTAAACAATTTCCACAAACCCATCATTAGTAATGGAACTTTTCCATCTCACTTTTAGCAACTTCAACCACTGCACTTGTGTTCCAGGTCCTACCCCACATGTCTCCAAATTTCTCTCTATTCTTTTTTCTCTTTGTAGGTTTCCAAAACTTGGCAACTTGTTTGTGATGATAATTTACTTTGGTATCGTTTGTGTGTAGGTGCTGGATTGTTTAACACATTATTCAACAGATCTACGATGAATTTATATTCAGGTAATGTGTTTATTTGTTTTTGTTTTTTCATTGTAAACAAAAAAATAAATCTAGGTACCCAAATGAATTGTCTTTTATGTGTAAATAAACCTACGAATTCACTTTGCAATGAGACAAAATCCCTTTTTGAAAGTTATATCATCAATAATAGTAATACCACTGATGATGGTGACAATTTGAAAGTACATGATTGTGATGTGTCCATGAAAAGTGATCATATTCAATCTTTTGACACTGATAGTGAATCAACTTGTTCATTATCCTATACTGGTAATCCTTCAAATTGTTTTAATTTAAATGAGGTAAGTAATTTTAATATTAAATCTTTTTTAAACAAGCATTTTTACTCTTTAAACGCTTATATTCTGGTTTTAATGGAAGTCATTTACCATGTACACTCGATTTTGAGCTATGAAGTATGTGTGTTGGGTCAAGTAGTGCTAATTACTCTCTGTTACTTGAACCAAAGTGGACTGGGACTGAATCTCATGACTTGAAATTCGAATGCTTTGGCTGCTAATCCATTGTTCCTAGTATAATTTAATAACCGAAGTTTTTATTTCCTCCCATTGAAATCTAATCTTATACTTACTAGTCATAATTGATCGGTTATTAGTTCACTGTAAAGTTCATCATCATCAAGTAATTGATTATCTAATTGTTGAAGGGTATATTTACGTTTGGTTGATCACAGATTAATGGCCAGTCTCGTGTTTGTCTGATCTTTTAATGGTGGTTGAATTCCATAGATTAGGATGTAATGTCACTAGTATAAGTGATTCGACATCGCGAACACCATGTTGATCTGTTAGGCTGTTGAAAGTAGGCTGGTCGATCACATTGCATTCGATAGAATTCGATCTTCACTAAAAGACTAGACAAACATCTTGTTGGTCAGTACTTAGTGATCAATCAATTGTAGATATTTCAACCCCGCAGGAGGTCATTTACGAACCGAATGGCTCAGTTGTAATATCAAACAGTGAAGCTAGGTAAACGACACTTGTTAGTAGAGTTCACGTTTTAGTTGATGTGGGTTGACATTTGAGAATTCTATATTATACTAAATTTATAATATTGAATAGGGCCATCAATAATAATAAATAAATAATGTTCACTGATCACGACGTATTCAAACTACATCTGCTCTTGATATGATTTTTCAGCTTTGTGGTGTATCATTCCACCTGCTAACCCATAAACTTTTGTTGGTATTTTGCGAACATAGATGTTATCATAAATGGAACAGTTTTGTCCTTCTTAGCGTATATGTCACTCATTGACATGTAATCTTAATGATTATACTTTTATCTACTTTTTCATGTCGTAGAATTCTATATATCATTACTTTCTTCCATACAGGTCAATTGGAAGTCTTTATATCGTCAAGATTTACATACTCAGTGCAATTGGAGAAATGGTGGACCATGGCATCCTATCATTGTACCGGCTCATCATGTAGGTTTACTACAATTTTACTTTGGAATAGACTAAACATGGCTAGCAATCGAATCCAGGATTCAGGTTTTGTCCTATTTGGAACTCGTCAACCGGATATGTCTGCATCTCGCAGTTGATATTCACTCCGAGACTGGGACCCAGTACTGTACCGTCTACTTCAAACACTTAGATACTGAGTCCATATAGCCTCTCACTTGTGCACATTCCATCTATTCTATACTAATTTGTGGCACAATGGCTATATTGAGGTAATCCGTACAGGATGCAAATATGCCAACCAAGTCTGATGAAATCTCAGTTAAAATATTAACAGTAGGATAATCCAATCCATTTCAAATAAAATTACTGTTTTTATGATTATTGGTATTTTGAATGGTGGATTAGTAACTGGTAATTTTTGTGTATATGTGTATGCTTAAATGAATATCACGATTATGTCCTTGGCTTAAGGGGATCACTGAAAAATAGTCAATAATATAAGTAGGTCGTATGTTAAATATCTCGTTTGGGATGAAACCTTCAAAAGATAATGCGATGACCAAGACTTGAGTTGAAGCGAAGGTGATGAAATAGCTGATGAAAACACTCGATGCTATAGTCTAAAGCAACTAAGCTAGTTTTTAATGAATAACACTATTTTGTTTGAGTTGTAAACAGGTGATGAGAAACTGCAAAATATAATGAATTCATGTTATTCTACTACGTTAATTGTTAGTTAGCCAAAAATACCAACAGGCTATGAAAGGCGGTAGTATCGGTTTACTATCCCTCATCTATTTGACTTATGTTAACCTGTATTGTTGAATAAAGAGATCAAGGTACTGATTGGATGTTGCTATACAGAAGCCAATAAACTATAGAACTAAAAGATCTGAAGTGGAGCTGGATGTTATGCAATAAGTATACTCGTAGTTTGGAAGTCTCAGAAATCCTGATGGAACATTAAAGTATAATAAGCCGACTTGTTAAGATACGTCGGAATTCTCATCACCTTTGATAAACTCTGGGACAACCGAATTAGTAGATGATCCAGTAGTAGATATTTCTCGGTTGATGGTTTAACCGTCTCGAAGGTCAAAATTTATAAGCAACCAAACCTTAACATTGAAGCATATGGATGAGTACTTGTATTGAAATTAATAATTGAGAGGACAGAATATTAGTGTCGCCATTCGAAAAGCTTATCACAAACGTGCTACTTCAGTTTATTATCCGAGACTCATAGCACAGACAAGAATAATCTTAAAAGGTATAAAATTTGTATCAAAAGCTCCCTCCACCATGCCCCTGTATCCTACTCCTACCAAGCATCATCTTAACCAAACAGTGAAATGAATATTCGTATGCATAAAAATACTAAATTAAGATTGTTAATCAGTTTGACTTTTATATATTAAAATTACGGAAATAATAATCGCCCAATATGTTTATTTAAACGATCGTAACTTCTGGGTCAGTCTAACTTTGGTTATGATCTTCAATTAGTTGGGGATTCTCAAACATTAGCTGCACTTATCATCAATCTTGGAGGTCGCAGCTGGGAACCGCTAAGTGAACAGTGGTCTAAAATGCTAATTCCTTCAACACTGGATCAGAAAAATGTAGACGGTCGATTTTCGGATGTGATAGATGCTGATGGTACTCACAAGTGCGACAAAAAGTGTACGATTCTGTACGAGATAATTGCATTAAATGCTTTCATAAAGACGGTGCCAGTAACGTTTAGAATCCTGGTCACAGAAAATTCCGCGCTAAATGGCATGTTCTTAGCCTTCTTCCGAGACAATGCTTTGACAGGGATACCTGTTAGTTCTTTCATCAGTGACGACAATCTTGCCATAAACAGCTGGTTCCATGTTAGATTGCATGAAATAAGGAAAGAAGCGCCTAAGAATATCGTGTTCCACCGCATTATAGAATTACTGGAAATGTGAAGTCGTATCTGTCCGAAAGCATGGCAGTTATTGGGAACTAGAGTGCTTCAGTTCGGGACATCAATAAAGGACGAATCTTATTTTTCTGATCAGCTGTCAAACGACTAATGCGGGGATCTTTCTCACATATGAAACGGAGAAACTCGTGATTATAACTGATTGATCACCTAGATACTGCATAAAAGCCTGTCAACCGACCAAATGTATAGAACTCACATCCACAACTATCAGATTATCTTTGCCACGAAGTGAAGGATTGACTATGAGACCAACCTTCATGTCGCTTGAGTTGTTGGTTTGTGAAGATGAATTTTTATTCTGTACACGATTTGTATTTCTACGAGTGTCTCAGATTATGGAATGCCAAAAAGTCACGTTCTCAAAAGCTTTTGGTTGTCTGAGGAATTCTGCATCTGTCAGTGAATGATGAATTAAACTGATTAACAATCTTGAGTCAATATTTTTGAGCTTGAATATATGTAGTTTGTTGAGTTTTAACGACGAGTGATTTCGGCTGTGTGGAATATTCTTTTACATTTGTGCCCACCACTGTCCTTAACGTGTTCATTACTACCAGTTATCCAAAGCATGTTGCGTTATGTCAGTGGACTACATAAGTAATAATACCTGCTTTCTTTGGATATAGGGATGAGGCTTCAACGAGATTGCTGTAGGTGTATGTGTATTGCCACTTCATTACTTCGGTTGTACATTCTCATGGTTATTATTTACAACCCAGTTATTCGGTACAAATAACTACCTAATGACCTTTACATTAAGTTCGTGTCGTATACAGCTTACAGAGGATGTAGTATAACAGCTTGGTAATAAGTATGCACAACTGCAATAATGATGTTTAGATAATGCATAATTTCATTTGTAAATCGTAATTTCCGCATACAGGTTGACCCACTTAAGATCCAGATGGGGACAACAATAATATTAGGATTTGAACAGTGTGTCGTTTCATTGACTGATCAGTATCAGTTTGAGATGATTTTCACTACTGACTTGAAACAGTTGACCTATATCTACCGTTATTAAATACAAATTGTTCGATGATATATACTTTTGGAATTGTAGTAAACTTTCACTGTTTGACATGATTACCATATTCTCATTTACAAGTGGGAAAGTTGTTGTACGTTAATATTACTAAAATTGTATCATGAATAACACGAATGTTAGAAATGACAATGTTGAAAAATCATTTTTCTGCAAATATTCATATTTGAGATATGATTTCAAATATACTTACAATTGACTGACTTTCCAATATGACAATGAACAAGTTAGTAGCATGAAACGACTGTTCAGAGCTTCAAGGATTTAGATTGTGGTTTTGTTTAGCTCATACTATTACGTGATTTAAACCATGAAAGTTCTACAATCTGCCCAAATTTCTGGATACTGTACATAATTATCATTCGATAAAATACAAAGATTTCACTAGTATGAACAAGTATAATTCATATCTCATTCAACCATTTTATTCAATCTATTAAGAATTACATAATGTATGGACAACAATCTGGTAAATCATACTTTTAATTTCATGTTGTCAATTGAGATAATATTATTAATAATAGTAATAATATTGTTGTGTAAATATAATATGTAATAAGTGGGGGTTATCGTGGTAATTACGATAAACGAACTGGGAATGGTGGATGTGAAGATTAAGATAGAGGTAATAAAAAAGGAGGGGGTAAGATGTTTATAATATTGCAAAAGTTCACCATTTTTAACACATAACATTGCCTTATTTCTGGCCTTTGTAAAATATTATAATTATGAACTTATAACTGTAGAGCCTGATAATGAAGTTATTGAAAACAATTGTTTGCTCAAGTATTCTTCATTTTTGAATATTCTATGGGTATTTTTAAACTATTTGCAAAATCTCAGAGAATGAATTTGAAGTAAATCCAACGTTTCACCTGGCAATCTGGTCCAATCTTTTTCAAGGAAATATAATCAAAATCATCGAATATAAATAGGTACATGGTTTTCCGGTTCATTGTATGCTGAATAGGTCACCCAATCCACGTTAACAATGTTTAAAGTAGGTATTTACATTAGTGTGTAAGAGACAGGTAGTGTGAAGCGAAAAGTGTTAAAATAACAGATTGTATGTATACGTAAGCGAGAAGAAGAAATCTCATTCATTATATATTGTCTTCGGTCGGTGAATATTAAGAAAACGTAAGTTTTATAAATGATATGAATCAAAAATGTCACAGCATACATAAAATAAGAAATAAATAAACAAGATAAAGGAATGAATTCAAAGAAGAAGAATGTATTTGTAATTGAATGCTTGTGTAGCTTGTGACCAGGCAATATGGAGGCAGTCCGCACAGGATGCACATATGCCAACAAGAGACTGATCAATTGCAGTCCTAAATAACAATGGGAAGATACAAGTAAACAACAAGTGGATGTTTGTGTTCCAGTTAAGTGTTTAACATATTCAGATAAGATAACTGATTAGAACCGTTGAATGTAATTGCTATTATTCAGATAATACGAGTTAGATAAAATGGAATAAGGAGTTCAGGTTTACTTATTAATTATTAGTTGCCACGGGACAGCTAATTGTATTCCATCTCCTATTAATGCTGTTTAGATTTGCCCATATGTGTAGGGCTTCGGTTGTTAGCCTCTCTTTGTAAGAATTAAAGCATTTCTTGTGCCATTGAAATCAATTGTATGACCCGATTCTATCGAGTGTAGTTCTATCGCTGATTTGTTCTCGAGTTTTTTTACATCATCTGAGGATTTAGGAATGTGCTGTAAGCATATTTCGTGTTTCTTCATCCTCACATTCAGTTGCCTTGATGTTTCACCTGCATACGTTGGATTACAGTCACTACATTTAATTTCATACGTTCCCTAAGAAATACTCTTGTAGCTGTAACGGCTGCTTTTTGTGAACGTGGTGAATTGCTTGGAGTTTTGATTCTTAACGTTCTTGTATAAGCATCATGGTTTAAGCAACGTAGATTGAAAATCCGGTGGTTATACCAGTTGTACATTTTCTTCGATAATTTGATGCGATTGCAGAATAACATATAAGAACTTTCGTCTAAATTTGATCGAATAGTCACAGCTGCAAGTGTATTTCTTAGGGAACGTATACATAAATCCATTATAAACTTGGACTATCTACGTCCACGTATAGCAAACATCGATCATGCTTTGTCATTAATTATACCAACGGAATTAAAAAATGTTAATGAATTTTTCAAACAAATAAAACTTTTACGATCAAATTACAAAAAAAACATCAAATAAGAAAATTTGAATTAATGTTTCAACATTCGTCGAAATCCAATAATGACGCGATTAGAAACAAATCTAAGGAACTAAATATAAACAAAATAGTGGTGAATCTATCTGATAGACATTCAAATCAACACTTTTTAGCTTCTGAAATTATTCCGTTGGTCGAGCCCGTCTTAAACAGTGTTCCGGATGACCAAGCGAATTCAGTGAGGTTTAAAATCTCCGGTGAATTGTCGAATTAAAACCCGAACGCGCCTAATCTATCTAGAGAAGAAATGTATGCTCTAAAACAGCTACGTAAAGACACAAAAACTATTATTATGAAAGAAAAGTGAATGAACACCTCCACATTGGACCTTATGAAAAAATCATGAATAACAACTTTTTACATACTCGGCCAAGATTGTAAGTTAGTGAATTTGTATAATCAACCACAGGTTTTAGTGGGATATCTGTTTCATGTGTTTTTGGTAGCACATGAAATCTACAAAAGTTATTGCTTTTTGGATATAAAGAAAACCATAGAGATGGTTCTAGTTTGAATTTTAACGTCTGTAGCATTTTGGCCGTTTCGGCTTTCAACTTATTCAAAGTGGCTCTAAATTTGTTATTCATGATACAATTTTAGTAATATTAACGTACAACAACTTTCCCACTTGTAAATGAGAATATGGTAATCATGTCAAACAGTGAAAGTTTACTACAATTCCAAAAGTATATATCATCGAACAATTTGTATTTAATAACGGTAGATATAGGTCAACTGTTTCAAGTCAGTAGTGAAAATCATCTCAAACTGATACTGATCAGTCAATGAAATGATACACTGTTCAAATCCTAATATTATTGTTGTCCCCATCTGGATCTTAAGTGGGTCAACCTGTATGCGGAAATTACGATTTACAAATGGAATTTTGAATACTAATATAGATATATATTTAAATTTACTCATAGCATACACAACTTTAGTAATTATGATGAGGTGTATAAAACAGTGTAATATAGTAGTCGTAATTATTAAGTATTATGTTTCCAAGTCAGTTATAAAAAAAACAGAATGATAAATATTATTCATATTAGCAAATGTGTTGTAGAACCTCATTAATGTAGAAAAAGTTTTGGTATTTGAAAACTGTCAATACGACTCAAATTTTTGTTTTTAATTAAGTATTTTTTGCTGAAAATTTGTTAGTGTATTCTTCCCTTTTTTCAATGTTTTGTGAATGTATATTTCTGTCTTTCTTATGATGAGTAGTAGTTTCAATCGTTAATGTTTATTAGTTTTAATATATTTTTATTGTAGAATCATGTCATCACTTGTTTAGAAGTATATGAAGAATGGGTAATCACTGGGTCAGATGATTCAAGTATCTGTATATGGGATATTAATACTGGACAGTGTTTAATTAATTTATTCGGTCACCTTGGTGGTGTTTGGTCAATGACTGTTATACCACGTCAATTATTGTTTCTGTCAAAGCAAAAACAATTATCTCAGCATCCTTTACTTATATCTGGTAGTTGTGATCGAACAGCTCGTGTATGGCAATTAGATGGTCAACATTGGCCTTGTATAGCCACGTTGTTTGGACATCAATCAACTGTTCGATGTTTAGCTAGTCAAAAATTACATTCTTGTCCAAAATTTGTTGTTACCAATTCGAACAGTTACCATCGTTCCACAGATGTATATACTAATGATAATTGTAATAGTATGGATGATAATACTTCTAATTCTACTATTAATAATGATAATGACGATGATGGTGTCGGAGATGATGATTCAGATAAAGAATTAACTCACAATATGTTTCATAGCCAACAAAACCATTCTAGTCATGGAAGTACGTATAAAACAACTTCAAATATTCATCAGACCAACAGTAGTAGCAATGACGGTAGTAGTAAATGGTTTGATCCAATTCTATCAAACAATGAGACTAATTCGATGGATAAAATGGAAAAACAAGAGCAAACTTTTCAAAATGGTCACTTAGTTGTTACAGGTAGTCGTGATACAACTTTACGTCTATGGAATGTATTAACTGGTGAATGTATACAAGAATTTCGAGGTAATTTGTTTGATCGTTTTGTAAAACAATGATTTATTAATTGACTTCAATGCTAGCATTACGGCACATTTTAATTTCATGTAACATTGACCAGTGATACAACATTGTATGATCGATGTAGGAGAACATTATGGTGTATTAGTTGCTGCAATAAAACATTCTGTTCAGTCGCTACTGTGCACCTGTTTAAACGAAAGAGAATAAACTACTTATAAATAATTATGTTAATGTTATGTCTTGGTAACCGTGTTTGTGTTCGTTTTAAATAGTCAGATAAAAATGAGCATTATGTGTGCTCTAATAAGTAATTCGATTTAATTAGTTTAATTAACTAAAGTAATCGCTAAATTGGTATTAAACACTGAATTTCATTAGATAAAACTTTATAAACTAACTAATTTACTTAATAACAGTCTATGTTAATAGACTAGTCTCACATTTCTAAACATTTTTTTCTAAGTGGTAGTTTTTAAAAAAACTGAATAACAGTAAACCTATCACAATAATCGACAACCTAGTTATTAAAGTTATTCGAATTTCAACCAGTTCTCTGGAGGATCGTATCCATTCGATTTACTGTCTTCACTTTTCATAGCCGGTCAGTGTCACTAGTGCTTACACTAACAGTACGTCTTTCTCATCATCATTACTACTACATTATTTCCATCTTGTTGTGCTAATTTGATAGGGCAACTTGGCCCAACACATATGTATATGTAAATCTGACTCAACACTGATGATGACTGACTGGTAAAAGCAGTGTATCTGAAATCTGAGTATATACACTTGCAATTTTCTAGTATACACCATAGTATTTGTATATTATTTACAAGTCAGTTGAAAGTTTTAATCTCACTTCAGTTTGTTAATAGTACCGCCGGTTTTCAGATGCCTCAAAGACTAAATAATCTCATCGTTACTTCTAATGAGTTACTAGACAATATCATAGTGATCGATAATTGATTAATTGTTCTTTTACACTTACATATCTTGTTAATCAAATACATTTAACAGGATGAAGTACTGCTTACTCTAAATGCAAGTTGTTGTTTCAGGACTGGCCTGCGTCAATACCTGACGTAAGGATAGGGAGTGAAGTAGTCGAACGCGTTGACAACTTCATTTATCTTGGAAGTCTAATGAGTTGGTTTCTGACGAAATCTCAGCACGGATTCGAAAAGCTCGTCTGGCTTTTGTCAAATTACGTCACCTATGGCGAAGGCGAGATATCCGTTTATCAATTAGGGGACGAGTATACTATGCAGCAGTTCGTTCTGTTCTACTTTACGGCTGCGAAACGTGGCTACTAAAAGTAGATATTCGTAAGCTACTAGTATTTGACTACAGATGTCTTAGAAATATTGCTCGCATCTGCTGGGATTACCGGGTAAGTAATAGTGAGGTTAGACGTAGGGTATTAGGGAATGATGGTAAATCAGTTGATGAGGTTGTGAATCTTCATCGACCGAGATTGTTGGGCCACGTGCTGCGTATCCCTGAACACCAATTACCACTACGCGCAATACTGACTAGTGTAGGGGATGGTTGGAAGAATTTTATGGGCGGCCAAACCAAAATGTTGCATCAGTGCTTGAAGTCACTAACTTATAGTCTGATTCATGTTGTTAGATGCAGACTACTTGATTGGGGTCCGCGTGACTGTCGTAATCAATGATTGGAGACTCTTGGTGACATGGCTTAGAATCGATCACAATGGTGTAGGTGTATACGCTCTCTGTGTTCCCTTAAACTGTGAGAATAAAATCGCTTCATATCTTTCTTTCTACAAACTACTTCTTTCTTCCTGTACTATGTCCTTATATGCAATCTTTCTTTTATTTATTACCACCATTGAATTAACTACTTCTATGAATTCGGTGTTCATCTTGTTGTGCTAATGAGGTATGGCAGCTTGGACCGATGTGCATGTGTACCTGGTCCTACGTTGTAGCTGACTGACTGACCTCTTACATATTGTCTGGTTATTTTGATATACCTAGTGCTTCTAGGTTTACAATGGCGGTCTGCCTAAGACCAGTTCGTGATTTAAAACGACTTGTATTTTACTGACGTCCACCATTAAAAAACTGGAAACACTAGATAGCCTTTTTGTTATGGTATGCAGCTCCTCAATAGTGCTCATCCACGATCCCACACGTGAAACTCGAACCCAGGACCTTCGAGCTCGCACAAAAACTTAACCTCTGGATCACTGGGCCAGCGTTCAAAGGTGTCATTATGTAACTTCAACCAATCCACATTATTGCGCAACCATCTTCCATTGTTTTTGCGGTTGACTGCCTCGCACTCAATACTCCACTGGTTACAGCTTCTCACTAGAACTCGGATTATAACCTCTCGAAGCTAGTCACTGGCGAAGATATGAAGTTAGTGGCACGTTATCGTGGATTAGTTAAAGTTAGTCGTTAAAACCGTTGAATGCCGGCACAGTGATCTGGAGCTTTCGCGCGAACTCGAAGGTCTTTGAGTCGAGTCCTGAAGGTTAGGTAACAAAACACACTAGATAACAATTTATTACTATTATTGAAAACAATGTTAATTAATGTTACGAATTTACTGATGTAATGGTAAGTTAATGTTCATTTCTCTACGGTTTAATGTTTTAATCTTTAGTGTTACAGCAAAGCTTAAGGATGTTGAGCTTTCTTCTTCTGTTGATAATTTCGAAAATTTGGTAGAAGTTGATCATATCCCAGCTATCGGTGATATTAGTTGTTGCACTGTTTAGAACTATTTATACTAGTCTCAAATTCGTTGATCGTTATCGGGAATAAGATGTATTCTTTTCTGTTTTTCTGACGTATGTACTTTGATATTTAGCAATTTACATGTATTTGCCATGGTTCATACATTGGGACGACAGAGAGAAGAGTATTTCCGAGCATGTTTCGAATAATTTTGAGTTTAAAGTTGCAACACAATTTTGCTTACCTGATTTAAAACACCCATGTGCTATGTATGCACAGTCGCCCCCCAACTCGACGGGTGATGTTATCTGATGTGGGAGGTAAGATGAAAAAAAGGCGCGGCCAAATCAAGGCGTTGCGTTGGCCCGTGATGTCGTTGGAAATTGGAATGAATCAAATTACTTACTGTAATCATTGCTCAGAGACTTTGTGTGATGTCTCAAAATCGTTTGCAATGATGAAGGTGCATCAACTTTTTCTTCTTTGGAAGCTGAGTCCCGTAGTCATTTTTATCGCTTTTAAATTACTACTGATATTGTTATTACTCCTAGTAGTCTGACATTTTTCTTGATAATTTTATCTCGCCGTACTAATCTGGTGTGGTAACTTGAACCGATGCACATATATATCGGGTTCTACGTTGCATATTACTGATGAAACTCATACAAACTCTTCGGAGCTTTTATGGTTATTATTATAACGGCTGGTTTTTCACGTTTACAAGTATGGGACGTAATGTGTGGGCGAGAAGGATCATGACTGGTTGTCTGCTTGGTCAGACATGTAGACAGCCTGACAGGTGTCATATAAGTTATATATTCCCTTACCCTTATTATTGTGACTCTTATATACATCCTCTTATTATTGATTCTTCATTATTATTATTTAACAATATATAGAATATTATTATATGGGGATTTATAAACTGCAAATGCGGTCATTATTTTTATAACGCATAGGCTACCTCAGGTTTGACATTAAATGAATATTATTCACACATGACAAAAAATGAACATTTGATGAGCACAACAACCCATTTACATGACTACTTTACTTACACATACAAGTATCTTTTTTCCATCATTTTAAACTGCTCAACTACAAAGAATGTACAGGTAAAAACAATTAACGTTTTTAATGGATTAGCAAAATAACGCAATTACATTGTTGCAGGAGTATAGCACGGTAGTGAAACGAAGTTGGTGTATTTTCTTTTAAAAAAGTTAACATTTTTATCAATACTCGGATGGAACAGTCAGAAAGAATTATTTTTTGATTTGAACAGTTTAGACCATGAGCCAATTGAAGCTAGTGCACTATGGAAAACCTGTTAATGTTTAACTTCAACTAATCCACGAAATCTTTGTAAATCTCAATTGGTTATATTGCTTAATGACTAAGGCTTAATTAGAATTCGTCATTGTTGGTTCAGCTGACCTTTCCCATAGAAATAATGTCGTTGTACTAGTACACTGGTAGTACTACATTCGTCTATCGTAACTATATGACAAAACATTGAAACATTCTGAATAAGTTTTACATGTATTATTTTGTTAGACACATTAGTGTTCATTAGATGACGTTTCCTATACGAAATCGTTTACTTAAACTGTATATTTGATAAAGCTTAAAAAGCGTTTACGAATACGTGGGCGATAATCACATAATGATTATTAATCCTAAATGAATTTTGATAGCTTCATCACTTGACCTTTGCCATGGAAATAAGAGATTGAAACAAAAGAATTTAAATCAAATTTTGGGTGGCCCCGAAAAGGGCCTTTACTCGTTCTCTTAACAGTTCCGAATTTCATGAACAAAGGCGTTGCTATGATTCCGTTATAGCGCCGCATATGGGACAGAGGATTCCATGGACAAGTGGTGATGGGTCGTAAGCACAAAATAAATGAAACTGCTTCGCATGGACAAAAAATCCAAGCACTTCCATCAGCAGTTTCATGTGGCGGTTGCGCAACATTGCAAATATCACAAAGTCTGTTGTCATACGCGTCCTCGTCATTGTCGTCGTCTCGTTCAGTGAACTCCTCTGAGTTAATCGAAACAATTTCCTCCTCGTCATTACTTAACTTTGCATCCACATCGACGTTATTTTGATAGTTGGTAACTTACAAAAATGAAGGAAGGATATTGAGTGTTCACGGAAGTCCTTTATGGAAAATCATAATAACACTAACTAAATTACCTCCTTCGTCTACTCGGCTGTGAGGAACCGCTAGGTGTTCTACGGCCATTTCTCCAACATTCGAATTTAATATACGGCTTCCGATCTCTATGGAAATGAGAATCTCTCACCGCATAATGGCAGTACGTAGCTCTTTCATGAGTTCTAACGGCGCTCTTCAAGTGATTGAGACGCTACGAGATACAATGTGCTCAAGAATAGGTTATCGGTTTCTGTGACAACGTGGGGAACGACAGAGCTCGTGCTTTGCACCGTACTACCGCCCGTAATTGGAAGGAAATGTGTTCTGTCGTCAGGTCTTGACATTTTATATCAAGTTTAAGAAATAAACGACCAATTATAATGAACTCAAAACTAGCTGTTTGATTGGACGGAACAGAATAAAGATTATTGGAAGATGGGGATGAAAAATTTTTTCGAATGGGACGAAAAAGATTTCACTTGAAAAAAAATGGCCGTGCATTTAATGTGCTAACCAGAAATGCAGCTATCTCTCACATTAGGTGACAAGACTATGACCGGAAAATGTTATGTATCTGGAACCTGTCATACCAAATTATTAGGTATTGACTGGATAGATAAATTTGGTTTATGGGACCTGCCGTTGAGCACTGTCTGCAATATGATCAATTCACCAGCCGAAATAATGTTTGGCCGACCAATTAGAACATTTTTTAATGTTTTGAACCCGGAAGACAGAATGTATGGACTACAAAAAATAAGGAAGGGAATTGCTTGAAGATTCGAGAATTTAAAGCAGGTGACTTATGCACGTGATTTCCGGCCTGGCAAGCCGAAATGGATATTTGGATGTATTAAAAAAAGACGTGGGACAGTATTGTATGAAGTTATGGTCGAAAATACACTAATTATCAGACATCAATCAACTGAGAGACAAGAAATGTTTATGAGTCATCTAAAGCCAAATCTTTACCAATCGAAGTATTATGTGATACTTTTAATATCCCACCACCACCACAAGTTGAAATGAGAAAAAATGAGCTGAAATCAAAAGTGAAGTCATACGATCAAACTTCGCGAGGGAGGTGATGTGTGGGTGAGGACGATCATAATTGGTTGTCTGCTTAGTCAGACATTTAAACAGTCTGACAGGTTCAGATAAGTTATATATTCCCTTACCCTTATTATTGTGACTCACTTTTATATACATCCTCTTATTATTGATTGTTCATTGTTGTGAATTGTGTCGGTTTTTGGTGTGGAAAGAAATTTACGTTCTGGTCAGGCTGATTACGTGTTCTTGATCTGAGTTGTGTTAAAGTCCTGTAGAATAGACACAGGGAGGTATCTAGTGTAGATGATCGTTTAAGCGTTACAACACCAGACAATGTAATAGCTCAAGTTATAACAATTGGCGACGGGACGTTATAACAGGACGTTAGTTTACCTTAAACAAATATCTACACTAGATTCTCCCTCAGTATCTGTTCTACAGTACTTCAACTCAGATCAAGAACACGTGATTAGCCTGACCAGAACGTAAATATCTTTCCACACCAAAAGCCTAACACAATCCAACATCAATGAACAATCGATAATAATAGTTATAAGGATAGGGGAATATATAACTCATCTGACACCTGTCAGACTATCTACATGTCTGACTAAACAGACAACCAATCATTAACTTTCCCTCCCACACATCGGTTATTACGCAATCCATCTTATTATTTTCCCAACTGTGGATATTTTCTCCTCATTTTCTTTATGTTTCTGATTCCCATCTTCGGACGACCTTACACATGCTTTTTCACATATCTATATGTTATGTGTATGGTAGTTGACATTTCCATATTTTCTTCCGTTACTTAATTTCAAATTATGTTGTATTTGAATAATAATACAGTTGTAAGCACCTAAAAGTAAACTATAAAATAATATTAGTTAATAATCTGCATCAGTTAAAATGAAAAACGAGCACTAAACGTAGGAAGTGTTTTACATTTACGTTTGCTTCAACTCAAGGTCATCGTGGAGCAATACGTTGTGTTCAGTTTACTGGTGATCAAATTGTTTCCGGTAGCTATGATTGTACAATTCGTTTATGGTGTGCATTACAAGGTCATTGTCTACGTGTTTTCAGTGCACATACAAATCGTGTTTACACTTTATTATTTGATGGTTATCATATTATCAGTGGTTCATTGGATACGACTATACGTATATGGAATGCGCGCACTGGTGCATTGAAACAAACATTCTATGGTCATCGTTCATTAACAAGTGAATTAGCATTTGGTTCTGAACAAAATATTCTTGTGTCAAGTAATGCCGATGAAACAATACGAGTTTGGCATATGAATAGTGGGAAGTGTGTACATGTTCTTGCTGGTAAGTCTACAGTGTTTAACATGTTTTTTTGGTATTGCGGTCACTGTTTACTTTAAATGTTTGTACATGTCGATGATACTTTTAGAAAGGAATCCTCTAGGTTTGTCTGAACGGATGAAAGAATAGCACATGAACATTTTGTTATACTGGCGCTCAGTTACCACCTATCACATTATACTATGTTGGCCATCATAGTAGCAGGTTACAAGAACGTTATGAGCAGCCAAACCACAGTTCAAAAAGTAATGAACTGCTGGATTGTGCCGCATCAGTAAGAGCTACAGAATTTCTGATTTGCACATGGGCGATAAACACAATTAGTAATTTGAAACATTGTCACATAGCTCAAAAGTTGTCACAGCAACCCAGGTGTGTCCGTTTGTTTTACTTCCAGATCTTGAGTATACCACTACTTCATAATTCTTATTCTATGATCTGACTATTTGAACGATATTTCTTAGGTTAGTTTTTTAAAATGATTATTGATATTATCATCTAAGCTTTATTTTTCATCTTCCCATCAGTTTTCTCCCTATTTGGTGAATAGAAATTTGGTAACTTGGGTCTCAATTTAAACGCTGACTTTCACTAACTGGTGATTTATTGAACTTTCCTTAAAGTTGTACGATTGCTGTTTTAAAATGGTGTATATTTTGAGTAGTAAAATCTGCTCATGTTCATCTCGAAGTTTCATGATTTGAAGCAAAATTCATTGGAATTGATTCCGGTCCTATTCAGATTAGATATAAGCTTATATAGGATGTGGCTAGCAGTAGAATCTAGGACGCGTGTTTCATCGTGTCCGGGATTCGTCAGCTGAATATCGGTGCATCCTACAGTTGATGTTCACTTCGGGACTAGAGCCCAGTATAGTACCGTTCGTTTCAAACGTCAATACGTTATCTACTTAACTGTTGAGTTCGGATAGCCACTTGTGTGTGAATCTTAATTTACTTTGTAATGGTTCGCATTACCACGGTTTTGATATTTTGACTGCAATTTCCATAGTCTTGGCTGGTATATGTACATCTTGTGCGGATTGTCTCGATATACTCGTTGCACAAGTGAATGGCTATCTGGAATCGGTTGCTAAATGGATAACGCGTTGACGTTTAGAGCGAACGGTACTGTACTGGGTGCCAGTCTCGAAGTGAACATTCAGCTGACGATTCGTGGATAAGACGAAATGCGCGTACTGGATCCCACTGCTGATCACATCTTGTCTGTTTTATATAAACTTGTCATAATGCATATTCGAGGCAATCGGCACATAATGCATATGTATCAATCAAGACTGATCAAACTAAAGTCAAAATATCGACAACTGGATAATTCAAACCATGATATAAACTAGTTTGGCTAAGATGAACAAATTGGTGTTGTGTAAGTCAGAACAGTTTTTTTATGGTTAACATTGTCACAAATGTAGTAAACGTACACTTGGCACCGAAACAATCTATATATGAAAAACCTGAATGATCCAAACTTACTAAGCGTTATGTACAAAGGTATAGAAGTACAAGAGATATTTAACATTATGATGTTCTCTGAAATACGGGAACCCTTTTAGGTTGCACTTACACACAGATTGGTCAGTGTAACCTAACTGTAAGAACAGTTAAGAAACAGTTATTAAACTTAAATCTATAATTCAGACTGATCTTGAGAACACATGTGATATATAAATGTCTGTTTCCTGTTCGAATACTCTAGTTTTGAAGCAATTAGTACCTTTTATAAATTTCGATAGAACAATGGGAAGACCAAGTTTATCTGAAAAAGTGTGAGGTATTTGCGCTAAACATTTCGAACAATCTGGTCAAGGCATTTTATATGAAAATCGATAAAGATTCAAGTAAAAAAAAGTGATAATTTTAGTGGTTGGATTTATGAGTCGATCTAAGACCACCATTGATAAACTGGGTTCGATTCCCGCAAGCGAGACCTTGAGTCTCCCGCACGAGCGCTTAACCTCTTAACCACTGAGCCGCCATCCAGTGGTGTTAATGTCTAACCTTAACCAATCCATGAAGTCGCACCACCGTCCACCATTGTCTTCAGTGAGTTACTATCTCACAACAGGCACGGTTGGACTCCACTGGTCACGGCTTCTCACTAGAACTCCAGGAAATACCTCTTAAAGTCAGTCACTAGTGAGCACATGATAATTATTATCATAAAGGAAGTTTCATGGAGATTGTAGTAATTGTAAGTAAAGGAGAGAAAACAATTAACCTGCTTCTGTTTGGGCACCCGGACTGTATCTCAGCCCTCACATAAATCGAATAATTTATGTGGCGCATATCTGTTTAGTGCCTCCTTTTACCAATGTTTATTTGTTTAAATACATAATGAAAAGAATAGGAAATTGTCATATTACCCTAGCCTATAAAAGGACTTAAACTTGCCCTGGTGGTAATCTTTAAGATTAAAACGTTGTGTGTACGAATTCTTAGGTTTATGGAAGCCTTGGTTATTCGTAAACTACCCCCCCTTATAGTTCTATGTTGAAGCTTAGTGCTGGTTATTTTTTACTCCAACGACCTTCTTGTTCTGAACATTTTTCCGATGTGTATCATTTGCATCAATATGTCTAGTTGTATCGATGATAGTATGATTCATTTACTAAGCACAAATTCAACTTGTGGTATGCGATCAATCGAAGGCAATAACATGACTGATTCATCATTCACTAAAAATCTTTATTTTTGTCTTTTATCTTATATATTATCACTTTAACCTAAAAATTGTTCAACTGTCTAATGATAATACGCTAACTATCTACTTAGTTGTTGACTTGGACATATAAAGTCCTACAGTCCCAGTTCAGGTAACCTAGTGGTAACGTCTAAGACTGCGAATCAAGTGATACGAAGTCGAATCCACTGGGTAGGACTAGTTTCCTTAATCTTACAGACACACCTTCCTGACTAGTCCTAAGCAGCGCGAATTCTATATCCAGGGTTCTCTATCGACTACTTCCAATCACCTAACACACTTTTTCGGTTTTATTAATTCTTTCTAAATTTATGATATTATAAGTTCATTTGTATCGTATACCTACGTCATGTAGCTAATTCAATTCATTACTTGGTATTAATGTAATAATTTTTATTTGTGTATAGGACCTCATAAACATCAATCAGCTGTTACATGTGTCCAGTTAACTCGTAATTTTATAATATCATCTGGTGATGACGGTACAGTGAAATTATGGGATAAGCAGTCTGGTGCGTATATTCGAGATCTTTTACGACTTGATGGAGCTGGACGAGGCGGTGTTATCTGGCGTATAGTTGCTTCTGAAGAACGTTTAATATGTGCTGCTGGAAGTCGAATTGGTATGGAACCGACAAAATTAGTTATTCTACAGTTTCAAGAACCAAATCTTTGTTCAAAACACTCGAACACTATTAATAGTAGTAATAAAATACCTCATATCTGTCGACCTAGACATAAATATGCTCCAGAACCAAGACTTAGTCAACTAATATGCACCAATTTCAGTACAATCTAGTATTTTATCATTACTTGTTGGAAATAATTAGGATAAATTTACTAACTGTTTTAGATACATTTCAATGAAAAGTCTTTGAAGATTTATATTTTATTGAATTGTGTACATAAATCAGCCTGTTTACTTGTTTGGCCTTCTGATTATTGATAATTCTATTTTTTAAAGGTATATTTTAGCGATAAATTTGTCACCATCACATCTAATTAATAATCACATAGAGAATGGTAAGTCGAGGTTTTATAATTGATTGATTATAGTATCGTCAATGTTTTGTGCAAAAGGTTTTATTAATATTCTAAAGAAGAATATTTAACCATGAAAATCTAGCCTCATCTCGGGTGTTCGAGCAAACTTCGACACATTAATTAATGGTAATAATAATGATTGTCAACAGTTTATGGGAATTTCAGTATTTTATGGTTAACGTCACAGACTGATCCTAGAAAGCGCTGGAGAGCTAGGACAAAACTGCTGTCCAATGTTCCCGTTACTAACATAAACCTTCCTACCCCCAACCGATTTATTCTTGTTCCTATCTTCTTTCTGATTACATTTTATTTCAACTCTAATGCCATGTTGCGCAACTCCTCCACAGTCATTTATCTGCTTGATGAACATTCAAACCCTTAAAAACTACAATTACAGCTTCTCAGTGACATTAACATCTTACGCTTTTGCACCTCTGTTACGAAATTCAGTAAATTCTCTACAACCACGAAATTTCCAGTTCTTACTCATTGGGATATTACAAGCATATCATTATCCATCCTGAAAAGAAGCGTAATGAACGACAAATTCGACACGTTACGTGTTAATTGTGTACTTCCTTTTTAACCGTGTGAGAGCCACCTAAGGTGATAATTTGTTAACATATTATATAATTTCAATGGTTGAGATCGTTAGTTGAAGCTAGACCACCATGTACAACCTGGAGGTACTGGACGGCCGTTCCGTCCTACTGTGTGACTCCCCAACAGTGCGCACCCGCGATCTCGTCCCCCGCGAGACCAATAGGTCCCAGGTTCGAGTCCCGCGAGGTGGGGCCATGGGTGCGCACTGCTGGAGTCCCGCAATAAGACGAAACGGCCGCCAAGTGCTTCCAGGTTCTCCATGGTAGTCTAGCTTCAACTAAATCATGATCTCAACCATTGAAATTACTATAATATCCACAAAACCGCTTCTGATATTATATAATTGTTAGGCCGATTGCACACATAAGAGCGGAAATGTAATTGGCTGAATTTCGAACCTAGAATGAACCAACTGGATCGCTTTTTGAGTCTTCTAATTAGTCATCAACTTTAACAAAAAAACCTAGTAGAATTAATAGGAATGATGTCACAAGCTTCTCACATACTTTAAAAGCATGTTTTTCCTACCACTTTTGTAAATTATTAGATTATATGGGTAACCAAGTACAAACTTCATATCCTCGGCTTCTGGTTAGACACTTCGATGTTTTCAAATCGACAACCTGATTGTTAGGCGCCGCTCAATGTAAGATCGATTGACGCGGCCTGCTTGAATATCTGGGCCACCTGTTCCTGCCATCTGGATATTTCAACAAGTTACCTTTTTGCTTGTTTGTTTGAACACATCATTATACCTACTAGTCTCATAACCTATTGAGGTGCGCTTGCTGAAATTTTACGACATATCGCCGTACAAGTTATAAGAGAGCCCAATCAGAAGCATCGTGGTTGCTGGCTATAATGCATCGAAAAGAATGTACATTATACGGATGTCGAGTCTTAAACTGCTAAATTTAACTGGCGACCGCTCAATACTGCAAGAATCGGTCAAGAAATAAAAAAGGAAACGTGTTGAAATAATTCATACTGACAATTCTATGAAAAATGTAATATTAAAAAAAGCCACTAATAATAATAAATCGATTGATCCGCAGTGGGATGTTATTATTTGTTTCTTACAAGGTAACAAGATGACATTTGCATTCGAACTACGACATAAACCTTTCCACTGAGATTCCAGCATATTAATAATTTACTATCTCAATTTTTCTACAATAGTGCTCTGAAATATATGCGTGCTGACTTACTTAACAACTAACGGTTTGTCCCCTCCTTTGAATTTGGCTGGGACAAGCAATTTAGTAATACATTTGCTCAGGTCCTTTAGCTCTACAATTATTTAAAAAGTAGGTCAGTTTTCGAATAATATGGAAATGTTTGAGACAAGTATAATCCTGAAGACAGGTTGTTGTGTACAGCATAAGATTCAAAGCCTGATGAGTAAGTAGAATCGCATATTAGTCATAAACTCGTTAGCTTAATAGCGACACGACTAAGGACAAGCCCATGGGATTTAGACCGGCTAATGATTGGCAAGTGACGTACTGGACCAAATTAGGTGGATGATACCGTCTAACAATTCCGAACCTTTGACTCTAAGCAACAATGCAGGCATGTTCGGCATGCGATTTTCTCCCTCGAAATGTAGAATGTTGCTTCAGGATTGGGTTGAGTCGACACCCGAACTAGTGGTAGGGAGTGAAGTAGTTGAGTGTGTCAACCGCTCCACTTATCTTGGAAGTCTCACCAGCCCTTGTGGTCTGGTGTGTGACGGAATCTCAGCACGGATACAGAAGGCTCGATTAGCTTCTGCCAACTTGCGTCATTTGTGGCGTAGGCCAGATATCCGTCTATCAACCAAAGGACGTCGCCCCCAAACGCCCTGGTACGGCCGAGAGTGGGGAGGGTTTGCCCTCCCTCTCGAAATACTCTCACATGGTCATGCGTATATAGCCTCTACCAGGGAAGTCCTACTCACTGCCTTCACGTGGCGGGGGTGTTGTTTACGAAAATGAGAGGACGAAAAGCGAATTTTCGGCGCTTTAACCGGACCCCAAATCAATGGTGCACATGGGCTCCAGTGTCCTGCGGGAACAAATGGCGTATGAACCAATCGTTGGTCACCAGCTACCATGGGACTGCATCTCCTCACGACGCTCCACTGCCTTGTGGATCAGATCTTCAGGTCGAAGGCTCGGGGTGTGGCCCCCTAAGAAAACCACCTGCTTCGGTTTGGGAACCCGGACAGTATCACAGCCCTCACACATATTAAATGAGATATATGTGGCGCATATGTATTTGGTGCCTCCTTGTACCAATATCTATGTGTTAAAATAATAATCATAATAATAATAACCAAAGGACGTGTTTACTGCGCAGCAGTTCGTTCCGTCCTACTTTATGACAGTGAAACATGGCCAGTAAGAGTAGAGGATATTCGTAGGTTACTAGTATTTGATCATAGGTGTCTTCGAAACATTGCTCGTATATCCTGGGACCACCGAGTAAACAACTCAGTTGTTAGGAAATGGGTGCTAGGTAAGGATGGCAAATCAATTGATGAAGTAATGAAACTTAATCATTTGAGACGGCTGGGACATTTGTTACGTATGCCCGATCACCGACGTGCGATGTTCCGTGGTGTAGGAGTAGGTTGGAAGAAAGCTAGGGACGGCCAGACCAAAACATGGCACAAATTCAGGCGAGACTCTAATTTAGGGACGAGCCAATCAGAAGCGCTTGAGCGGTTTCAAGGCCACGGAGCCAAGTTTAACACCTGATGCTCACATATAATCGGTTTACAGCGGATTTTAGAGAAGGGGTGATTATTGAGAGGCTACAAGGGATAGGATTACTAAAAAGTTCTTGTACGTGAGACTGCGGTTATCAAATGACTGCAGTTAATTGTGCAAATAACCGTGGTGAGATTATATTTCGTTGTCCTTCATGTTGCAAGAGAAAGTCTGCTAGAACGAGGACTTCCTTTGCTCGATTACTACTGAAACTGAATGATAATAGTTGCAAATTGGGTAATAAATACACCAGTAACACTGATTGCGGCGTTTGCAGTTGTTTATGAAAATCCAGCAGTCCAGTGATATGAGTACTGCCGTGCAACTAAAATAACACTTGTACACGAATCATTTGGAGGAGTAGGATGTATCGTGCAGACAAATAAAACGGCAGTGAGAAAGCGAAAATACAACAGGGGACGTGGTATAAAGTAGGATTGTGTAAGTAGCATTTCCGTAAATATACTCGACAGGTACTTGGAATTTATGACTTTTCATACCGTATGCAATATGATTTCATAACATCTGAAACTTTAGCAAACCTTGATAAGTTTTTAAATCACGTTAAATAAGTATATTCACTGTAATCCATTAGTTTCTTCTAATATATTTCTACGTTATACTAGGTGTCTTTTGATTGACTATTATTCTCAAGGTCACTCAAAATTCGTTCAAAGGTCGTCCCTAAACTAGAGTCTCGCTCAAATTCATGAAGTCACTGACAAGTGGACTGAGCCATGTTGGTAGATGTAGACGACCTGATTGGGGACCGCGGGATGATAGCGACCGGTGGTTAGAGACCTTGAATGACAGACTCAAAATCGTTTGCAATGGCACACCCACTGTCTGTGTTCTGTCAAAACCTTCTGTATTCTTCATGTCCTTTATTTTCTTTCCAAATCTATTCCACTGGACTATACTCCTTAAATAACATCATCAAACCCTAATGTTCCCTACCACGACCTCTACCACTACGGGATTTGAATCGATAACTGAATCTCTGTGCCATTGTGGTATGGCAACTCGAACTGATGTACGTACGTACGAAGTCCCACGTTGCTACTGACTGACTCATCAGTCAGTTCTTACACTGTAAGCAGAGCTGGCTGTTTAAACCTAGTTCTGACGAACATTATATCAGCTATTACCATCCGGTAATTGCGAAACCCCCAAAAGATTTAGGTGATCACTAACAATTTACAACCAATCACTGAAGCCATTTGGTTCAGGCAGAAAAAGACCGAAGGTTAGCAAACGTAATCTTTTATATTTTTTTGCTTGACGTCTTTAAAATAGTTGGGTTTCAACTTTACACTGGCGCATATGTCGTGTTTATAGGGATAGTCTCAAGGAAGCAACTTTAAATCACCGGAAACAAGGTTGATTTCAGAAGCTAAAGCTAATGGGAAAAAATAAAAGTAATTCCAAGTACAAACCCGGTCCTATACCAAGAACAGTTGCAGTGCCTTTAGGAACTTGTGTATGGCCAGCATCATGTATGATTGAATTTACAAGGCCTAATGACTCGGCTTTGTCGGATAGTTTAAGCCTAAATACAGCAATGGGTTAGTCATGACTGAATTCACATTTCTTCGTAGTTGTCAACTTTAAGTACGATTTTGGGTTGTCCTTGTTCTTCCCATGCCTTCAAAATACCAGGATTTTTCTCAATAATTTCCTCATAACAAGAAATAGCAGCATGAGAACACTTTAAAACCGGGGACATTAGGAGTATGAGAAGATAACTTACCTGAGCAGCAATCTTACCACAACCCATTTTAAGATCGGACCGTACTATTAACACTAGCTTCATTTTACCAGGAACAGGCATGAAATGAGTCAATTTTGATGCTAGATTGGCCTGTTAAAGAAAGACCAGCCATTTTAAAAAAATTGGGGTTTACACTGCTACCACGCCGACGAAAGATACACCAACCAACAAAAACACCGATCCCCCCAGACATAATGGAAGTAAGGAAAGCTAGTTCCATATTGGTTTTAGTAGTGTAACTCAAGATAAATGTGGATGTGGGTACTGTAAATACTTGTGAAACGGTTTTAAACGGGACGATCGGGATTTACACCGGACGAACGTTGACAACACAAAATGAATTCGAATGTTCTGAAAAACAAACCTACAGTTGACCAAACAAAGCCAAGGTAGTTTTCACACCTCAATGTTTGAAACTACTGATTTTGTTGCAGATACAATAATCGATAAAAAACGATCTATGAGCGAAGAATATTGTTTTCGAGTAGATCCTCAAAAAACGACCTGTTGAAATACAAGTATACCGAGTCGATCGATAAAACGCTCAATCATACAGTAGAAATCTTATCCTAATGATCTACTTCAATAGGGTTGTCAAAAACGAGAATGCGTTAGCTCAACCCAGTTTTTACGTCTGGAAAGCAAATAAACAAGATATTATACACTCAGCATTGTCAGAAGTTAGTACAATAGAGCCAGAGTCTCTGATTGAAACAGCTTGGGATGTAATTAGAAATTTATACTTAAAGGTTGTTGCGCACCACATTCCTTGAACTACACCATGGTTCAGTAGGGAGATTCACACCCTCCTCTGTAAGAGAAGAAGAATATAGGATAGATTCAGGTTACTGGGGACTGATGAGACCAAATCTCAATATCGCGGAGTTCGGAATACTTGTGCACCGACCCTCCGCAAGTCTAGAAGTTTGTGAGAAAAAAAATTGTTGAGGAATCTATAGAATGACGTCGTACATAAATCAGAGAACTAAAAGAATAGGAAATATTCCATCACCATGTAGGGAAAGTGATGTTTTATCATTAGTGGAGGAGTACTTTGGTAAAGCTCGATTATTCTCAAACTACTTTAACAATATGTACCGTAGAAACACCATTCACTTCAGTCCATACAAATCTTTCCACACACATACTGAACGTGACACTTAAAGAACCCGATGTCCTTGACCTATGGAATAAGTTTGATATAAGTAAATCCACGGGGCCCGATAAACTGCATCCTAGTTCACTAAAAGCACTATTTAGCTTCGTTGTAATCTTATATCCTGACAGTTGTTGCTACCTTGACGTGGTGGTCGAGCTTGCCTATCGTGATGAAGCAACTGAGCTATACTGGCTGGAACAACTGTTCCTCAAGGTCCTACCATGCCAGACAGGTCGGTTGAAGAGCGGTAAGACTAAAAGCAACAAAACCAAGGTTCGAAGGCGAAGTCGTACTGCTGACTGTACAGATGTGTGAAAGCAGTAAGGTGTTTTCTCCAGACAACCAGCATGACAACGATGCTGCATTCCCACAAGGAGGGGTGGGGTTAGAAAGGGTCGGCCCTAAAAATACACACCTCGCCTTATCCCACAGATGTCCGTCTCCTGCGATATGGTCTCAACAAGTATGGAGCTAACACAAAAATTACTCATAAGAAATTCGTGTGTGAATGACCTCGAGCAGCTGTCCCTTGGGCACTGCGGTCACGCTCTCAGGTCACTATGACCAACTCTAATTCAATTTCCTTTTCAGGTACCTCCAGAAGAACCCTTCCACGGTGTGGGCAACCGGGAAGTGATAACCGCTCTCATACCTCTAACAGCACTCAAGACCACTGTATTCATAGTCAACCTCCCTCTTCAATTCCTATTATTCCTCCTACATCGACTTTATACACTAAACTTCCTCTTTTAGCTTCCTCCTCAAGTGTCACCACAGCCAACAATTCTAATGCTCAAAACACTGTCCCAGGTCTACTGAAACCTCGCTCCAAACTATACATTGGAGCCTTCAACGTACGCACACTATACCAAATCGGTCAGCAGGCTTCCTTGGCTAAAACCTTAGAATCTCGTACGATTGATGTATACTGTGTCTCCGAAACACACATACAGGATCCTAGTGTGGTCATTCACTTGACCTCACCTCGGCAAAACGGAGAGCCAACGAGATACACCCTCCGTGTATCTGGAGACTTGATGGCTAGTTCTCGTGGACTGGCAGATGTAGGCATAGCACTAAGCATGAAGGCGGAACACGCGTTATTAGAGTGGATCCCCGTAAACAGTAGTCTATGCGCTGTTCGGCTAAACGGCTCCGTAAGAACTCGAAAAGATAGGGACACACGTCGTTGCCTTTTCGTCGTTTCTGCTTACGCTCCCACTGACTGCAGTTCGGATGAAGTGAAAGATGAATTTTACAGAAAGCTTTCTGAACTTCTTCAGAAAGCTAAACGTTCAAACATAGTACTCCTAGGAGGTGACTTTAATGCCCAAGTAGGTATCTGAGACCAAACAGAAAGACATTTAGGTGGGTGTTTTAGTATTCCGGCACAACGAACAGATAATGGGGATCGTCTGCTGCAACTGTGCTCAGACAACCGTTTATTTTTGGCAAACACTAATTTAGGGCATAAGGAGAGACACTATCTAACATGGCGACCCCCTGCACCAAACCAACGATGGACTCAAATAGACCATATTGCCATCAGTCATCGTTGGAGAGGGTCAATAGAAGATTGTCGCTCATTCTGGGGTACCTGCTTGGACTCCGACCATGCTCTAATAAGAGCACGCATCTGCTTGCGCCTCACTGGACGCAAAAGAGCCACACAAAAAAGACTCATTAGAACCGAATTGAGTAATGAGAAAACCAAAAGTAGGTTTCAGGAACAACTGAGGTCACACTTAGGTAGTTCTGAAAACAAGGCTGACCCAGATGTTGCTTGGAAATTTATACAAGCAGCTGTGGAAACAGCATTGACATCTACCAGTGAGTTAAACCACAGGGTTACAAAGAACCAATGGATTTCGTCAAGGTCTATTGCACTGATAGATTCTCGCAAACTCATCCCATCAGGTTCTGAATACGATGAAGAGCGTAAAGAAATCAGATCTAGATTAAGCAAAAGTCTAAAGAATGATCGTGAGCAGTGGTGCGCAACGAAAGCAAAAGAGATGGAAAAGGCGGCGTCTATAGGGAACACAAGACAACTCAACAGACTAATAAAAGAAACTGGAATTAATAAATCAAGTGTAAGTCAGACCATTTCGGAAAAAGACGACACTCTCATCTGCTCCCAGTTCAGACGCTTAGAACGATGGGCGGGACACTTTAAGGAGCAGTTCAGTTGGTCTTCAGCTACTCTACAACTACCCTCTATTCCCAGACAGTGTGAATGGAACATTGAAGTAGGTCCCCCAACTCTAGCTGAAGTTCAAAAGGCTATAGCTAATCTGAAACGAGGAAGGGCATCTGGTCCAGATGTATTGGCCCCAGAGGTCTTTAAAGATGGTGGTCTAGTTTTAGCGATTAGGTTGACTAATATTTAAGCTAAAATCTAGGAGTTAGTAGTAATCCCATCTGAGTGGTCACAATCACTTATCGTTCCAATATATAAGAGAGGGTCAAAATCATACTGTGACAACCATAGAGGGATTAGTTTAACTGATATGGCATCTAAAATACTAGCCTCAATAATTAACGGACGCCTAACTAAGACTCGTGAACTGCAAACACAGGAGAATTGAGCTGGCTTCACACCTGGTTGTGGATGCACCGACCACATATCCACCATTCGTCAGGTTCTAGAACACTGGCACACTTATGGGCGTCCGACAATGGTGGTCTTCCTTGACTTAAAAGCAGCATTTGACTCTGTGGACCGAGAGGTTCTGTGGCAGTGTCTGTCATTGAAAAGCGTACCTCAGAAGTACATAAACCTTGTGAAGGCTCTTTACTCGAACACTACTAGTCGAGTCAGAGCTTATGGCGAACTGTCATCTGCTTGTGCAACCTCAAGTGATGTCCGTCAAGGCTGTTCACATTCTCCACTTTTTGTTTAACTTCATCATAGACCTACTGATGGAAATAACGTTCTCGTCGACTGAATTCTCGGGCATTGATCTCTTTCCAGAAGGTCCACTTATCGACTTAGAACACACAGATGACATAGTCCTGTTTGGTGAAGACGCTGATGAAATGCAGAGTCTTTTGGTAGCACTGAGCAACAATGCTAGAATGTTTGGGATGCGCTTTTCTCCCTCTAAATGCAAGTTGTTGCTAAAGGACTGGTCTGCGTCAACACCCGAACTAGGGATAGGGAGTGAAGTAGTCGAACGCGTTGACAACTTCACTTATCTTGGAAGTCTAATCAGCCCTAATGGGTTGGCGTCTGACGAAATCTCAGCACGGATTCGAAAAGCTCGTTTGGCCTTTGACAACTTACGTCAACTATGGCGAAGGCGAGATATCCGTCTATCAATTAGGGGACGAGTATACTATGCAGCAGTTCGTTCCGTTCTACTATACGGCTGCGAAACATGGCCTTTAAGAGTGGAAGATATTCGTAAGTTACTAGTATTTGACCACAGGTGCCTTAGAAATATTGCTCGCATCTGCTGGGATTACCGGGTAAGTAATAGTGAGGTTAGACGTAAGGTATTAGGGAATGATGGTAAATCAGTTGATGAGGTTATGAATCTTCATCGACTGAGATGGTTGGGCCACGTGTTGCGTATGCCTGAACACCAAATACCACTACGCGCAATGCTAACCGGTGTTAGGGATAATTGGAAGAAAGTTAGGGGCGGCCAAACCAAAATGTTGCATCAGTGCTTGAAGTCACTAACTTATAGTCTGATTCATGTTGTTAGATGCAGACTACTTGATTGGGGTCCGCGTGACTGTCGTAATCAATGATTGGAGACTCTTGGTGACATGGCTTAGAATCGATCACAATGGTGTAGGTGTATACGCTCTCTGTGTTCCCTTAAACTGTGAGAATAAAATCGCTTCATATCTTTCTTTCTACAAACTACTTCTTTCTTCCTGTACTATGTCCTTATATGCAATCTTTCTTTTATTTATTACCACCATTGAATTAACTACTTCTATGAATTCGGTGTTCATCTTGTTGTGCTAATGAGGTATGGCAGCTTGGACCGATGTGCATGTGTACCTGGTCCTACGTTGTAGCTGACTGACTTTCTACTGGAAGACTGGAAGAACGCCATAGTAAGTCCTGCCTTCAAAACAGTTAGGAAACATAAACCTGAGAACTACTGACCCATCAGCCTAACATGGTTTTTAAAATTTTATAAAAGATTATCGTTGTTAAATTATCTCGATGTAAACCGGATTCTTTTGGAAAAGCAGCGTTGTTTTAGAATAGGTTATTCCTG